GAGAGAGAGAGAGATGTTACTAGTCAATTTTGCAATGGAGAGGGAGGGAGGGAGAAGCTCTCTCTACTTTTTCCTTCTCGTTCTAGAGGCCTTCTAAATTGCCGCAGTTATTTTGGGCAAATTCATGAGTTCACTGTAATTTTTTGTGTCTCAGAGATATCTTGTGGAGTTTATCTGTAGCGTGTTTGTTGCCTCATGGACTGGGGTTGTGAAATATCATGGACCACGGCCTAGTATGCGTCCAAAGCAGGTAAAGTGAGTCATTTCCCCTTCTTCCCCCTAAAATTTAAACCTATCAGATGTCGTATGAATCTTTCGGGGTAGTAATGATAGTCTTTTATTCATGTTTCTGACTTTTAGTTCATCATTGAATCAGGTGTTTGTGGCTAATCACACATCAATGATTGATTTCATAATATTAGAACAGATGACGGCTTTTGCTGTAATTATGCAAAAGCATGCAGGATGGGTTGGTAAGTATTTTCATTCCGAGTTGTAACAGTTCCCACATCTTTTGATGGGCTCCTCTTAGTTTTTTGTCACTTCTCATTCATGCTGCTTTTTTACTGTAGACTGTAAATTTTGGCCTCTTTTATTTTTTAGTTTTTAAACAATTAAACTAAACAATTTCACTAATCATGTAGGACTTTTACAAAGCACTATTTTGGAGAGCTTGGGTTGTATATGGTTCAATCGTACTGAGGCCAAGGATCGTGAAATCGTAGTAAAAAAGTGAGAATATTGTTAATTGATGGAGCTTCCCATGGTATTTATATTGTGTTGTGGCAACCATGAATTATTGAATTCTATTATTGCAGAATGAAGGAACATGTTGAAGGCACGGATAACAATCCACTTCTTGTATTTCCTGAGGGAACTTGTGTCAATAACGAGTACACAGTTATGTTTAAGAAGGTATGTGGCTACATGCAATCGATTTCATTTTAGGTGTACACTACGAATTAATTAACATCATATGACTCTGTTTGTAGAAAAAGTGGATGTTGACATGGCTTCTGCTTAGGCCATTTGTGACCTTCTGCTTGTTAGATTTATTGATAAACTGATAAGGAATTGGTAAGATGCATGATAACCTTTATTTTAGTTGGAAATCTTATTTCCTCTTTCGATCTATCTTGATAGGTATTCAATTTCTCATTTGGCCCATGGGATCATAGGGTCTAGGTTGTTCTATTTTGACTATCACATGCATGATGTTACTATGCACCTCGTGATATTGGTAGCATTTTATCTGCTCATAGAATATGTGAATAGATGAATGGATTAAGTATCCAAGATGCAGTTCTTAGACACGTTTTGGTCTGTCTCACTACTGTATCGGACTGTTGATCGTCAGATACACCAGTAGACAACTCTGGCCAGGTTACTATGCATGCATCAGTTTTTTGTGTCAAACATGCAATGCTTTGCCTGTTCACATCTCCAAATTTCAGACACGGACAACTATGATCTTACATGTGTGCCCATAATTTTTGAGGTGTCTAGAAGTTGAATTCGTAGCCGACCCCAAATCATTGAGACAAGGCTTGGATGATGATGATATCTAGAAGTTGAGCATCTGTATTCATGCATTGGATGCATGTATTTGACTTTTTAACGAAGGCAAAAGTTTATACAAGGTTGCAACCTTAAAATGTAGAATTATAGATGCACCTCAAAAATCCATTGGAAAAGGTTGTTTTAATATTGAAAAACCCTCTAATCGATCATCTCGACATCGAGATGCATGAATATGCAAAAAAAAAGAAGATTTTTAGTCCCATAAATAGTGCATATTGCAACACATTATCTAAACCGTTCACTTTCAAGATTTTCATATGTTTATGGATCTATTTGATTTGAACCATTTTTAGAGTTTCAAATTTTATAATTAGAGATGAAAATAGATTTCAAGATAATCCTAATAATTTTTTACACCAAAATTGCATTTTATGATGAAATTCAGAGGTGCACCTTAATTGGATTGTTTAAGGTTGCAACCTTATAGAAACCACACCCTTTAAGTAATTTTGTTCTTATTTATCAGTTTAAAAAAAAAAAATTGATCTTATTTATTTAGTACTTTAATTTTATATATAGAAAAGTTAGTAGCCAACAGCTACAACATGCTGAAGCTCAGCATCTGTACAAACATGTTGTGTTTGATACCCTGTTTTTTGGGAGCCATGTCAGGCTCGGTGGTTTATTGTAAGATGTCATTGCCCCTGTCCATGTCCTAATGTAGGATTAGACTGATTGTCTTCTGTTTTGTTCACTCTAGTGTGATCAGAATACTTACATTGCTCCACTCTATTATGTTTCAAGGTTTGAGCAATCATTTTCTGACGTTTCATATGCAGTGTCAAATAAACCCTACAAGTCTATTACAGTGGATTAGAGTCCATAAATTCACATTGTTATGTTCAACAGGAAGTGCGGTGGAGATCAATACTAACAAAAATAATATGACTAGGACGAATTTTTATGAAATGATTGATAAGAAAGATCTTATTTATCCTATAGATATGCACTCTTTAAGTTTCTTCCTCTCTGTTGGATATGCATCTCAACCTGCTTTGAATTTTAGCCTGTGTTTCTTCTTCCTTGAATTGCTTACATGCAGCTCTTAGATATAGGCAAGGCCCTTTCCATGGTCTGAATGCAGTTGATTATGGGGGATCTCTTTTCTCTGGGGAGATTAATCTGAAAATTACGACCTTTCTTATGCCATCTACCTTTCTTCCACCTTTGTTTCTTTTGGGGGTTTTGCACCAGTCCCGAGTACTGAGAAACCTTTGAGATTCTATTATATTTGCCACCTTGTAACAATAATCCCACATGGTACAGTAAAAAAAAATTATGACGAGGCAATGTGTGGGCAATTGATAACAATACAAGGAATTGATAACAATACAAGGGAGCTGATTTTTTATTGATAGAAGCTGCTTTATATATAATTTCACACTATACTACATCCAAATGAATCATCTTCTCTTGTTGCCCTTCGAGTGCTAGGAGCAATCCTTAAAAGTGGGGATCAAGATCCAATGGAGTAATGGAGATACCCATCAGGGAGTGTTGGAGCGAGACCTAGGAGTGGGACTGACTAGTTGGGAGATCCTAGTAACTATACCTAAAAGAGCTACTCAAGAAATTTAAAGATTTTTGAGAGAATAAAGTGCTTTGAACACACAATAACACCCAAAAGTCTTCTGTTTAGGAAAAGGAAAACCGATGGTACATTTCATTTTATGAAGAGAATTTGAGTTTGAACCTCGATTATGGGATTCTACCTTGGGAGCAGGCATGTCTTTTTGGTAGTGTTCTTCCTCTATGTCTTGGTTCTTTCTTGAATAAATAACAGTGATGGTTGATGGTATTCATTATTTAATATAGAGGTTGGTTGGACAAACAGTGCAGAACTTGACAATGAGAATTTTTCTACTTGTACTTGCCCATAGGGGATCAAAGAATGCTTCTTGAACATCTGGAGATAAGGTATTATCTCATGGAAAACGACATTCTAAGAAGTGTAATACCTTTTCTTCTTAGAGTCGTAGCACTCGTACGTTTTCAGTAGGATAGTCGCCAAGGAGCTGAGACGTAACAGATTCAGAGATGAGTTTTGTCTCTTAACATTTTCATGTAATGTGCATAACAAATGCAACAAAAAACCTTGTTGTGGTGTGCATGTGTGTGTTTCTGTATGTCACTAGAATGGTAACCTTCTCAAAATGTTGTAGATTGCCTCATCATTACCAGATGACAATAATAAAAAAGAAAACTGATGTTCGGTTCATTATAATGCAGATTTGACCGTCCAAAAATTGGATGATTTGTGTTCACTGTTGGAGCTATTGGGGTCCGATTCTTTTTATTTATTTATTTGGATTGGCTGCTAGGATGAGTACATGTACATCCCCAAAATTTGGGGTCCAAATGACTCCCTAGCAAGCTTTTGGAGCCACGGTGGAAAATGTATTGGTTTGCCTTGGGTCTCTACATGATGAGGGCGTCATGGTCCTTCTATAGGACCTGTCTAATTTAAATTTTTAAAGGGTTTCTCTTTGTTTGTTGTTTTTTCAGAGATTAAAACTGGGGTTATTTTATTTTAGTTAAGGTTATTTTGAGTAATGTTTTAAGCAATTATGTATACAAAGGAGAGAGAGGGATGTCCAACCCATAGAATGTTTATTTTGGAGAATTTGAGAAGAAAGAAAATCCCTAGAAACGGCTTCCTGAACTCCTTGATTGAAGGCCATGGAGAAGGCTTGGTAGCACCTCCCAAGGTCATCCCTTTCAAGGCATTCTTCAATTACTTTTTCTCTTCTTTCCTTTCTTACTTCTTTTTTTCTTTTCTTCATTCCGTTCTTTCCTATTTTCTTCCCTTTCTTTTCATTATTTGCTCTTTTCTTTCCTTTCTTTTCATTATTTCCTCTTTTCTATCCTTTCTTTAACTTCTTACTTCTTTTTTTCCGTTCTTTCCCTTACTTTGTTTTTTTTTTTCATTTCTTTCCCTTATTTATTTTTTTTCCTTTTTCCTCTCATCTTATTTCTTTTCTTTCATTGAATCCTTTAATATTCTTTTTACTTTCTTTTTTTCTATTTCTCATTTATTTTTCCTATCTTTTGTTTTTGTGCTCTTTCCCTAACCCTCAAAACATACAACATTCCCAATTAAAAATCCACTAAAACCTTAAAATTAACCCTTAGGTTCTCCCTAGAATCAATCCTAAATAAATTCCTTGAAAGCTTATCCCTAACTTCAAATCTGAAGTCAAAACTCTAATTTGTTTTATGCCTCATTAAATTTAAAACCCTAAGACTAGTTGTGGAGACGTTCGGGAAGTAATTTAAAGTTATTCTACATCCACATGTTCTCTCTGGACTGTGGATTAACTTTAAATTTGATGGGTATCAACTTTAATTTGGCTGATTTTGTTTAAGGAAATTTCATTCCATTACGGATTCAAAATCTCATCTTCCGGACAATAAAATAAATTCCGAAAGTTGCACGTTAATTTTCACAAGTTCGTGTTGGTTGTTTGGGGTCTCACAGCCGTCAAATATTAGTCACGGTGGACATAAATTCCCCGAATAACTGGGACCAAAACCAGGGGATCTGGAGGCACGAGATACTCTCGCTTTCTTCGAAGTGTTAAATGCCGTCGTCTTGATAAAATTCTGAGGGGCAAACGGGTCATGGCGAGTACACTCCTTGGACACAGCCTGATTGGAATACAATTCTTGATTCCCTGAGTTGCAAACTCATGAGACCCGTACAAAATCACAGTTTATAAACTGATATGTTTTTCCAATTGGTATGGTTCTACAAACTTCAATTGGAAATATATTTGTCTCTCACATTACAAAATCTATCATCGAATCGATATACTAGAATAAAACATCGATTGAGAATATCTTCTTTCTCACTAAGAATTAGTTTTCCAATTGGTAAAATTCAAACATCGATTAGGATCACAAACTATTCTCGCGTGATAAAATCATCCAATCGATAAAATAACAATAATTTAGCATTGAATGGGAAATAAAAACATATTTATAATCATCTTACATAAATAAAAATAATATCTGTTACCTAAAAGTCGCTTAGAGAGAGTCATTTCTATTGACGAGAGAGAGAGAGGGTGTCTTGCTTCTTGGTAATGGGAAGCCTTTTCCTGTTAGCTAGGCCTGTAAATAGCCTTTTTGGAGAGATAGAGAAAGCTTCTATATCGGGGAGAGAGCCAAACATTACATCTTATAAAATAAGTTGTCAAGAAGACAAAAGGAGGGGTTGATGGTGCTACATAAAGTACAAAACGTGGCACACAAAACAAAAGATGAGGTGCAAAAAATGTGTGGATCAAAAGTCCATTCTTTAAAAATGGACCAGTAAAATTATGGGTTGTTTT